CCGTTATATTGAGACATATTTTTGGCATAGAAAGTGATCGAATTGGAGAATGATGTCTGAATCAAAGTTGTAGCCAGATGGGTTAGCTTTCCAACGCATTTTGAATCGCCTCAATCGAATATTGGAATACAAAGTTATGATAAAAATATTGAAGGAATGTGCAGCTGCTTGTTTAAAACAAGAAATTCCGTTACATAATCCGTTAAAATAACAAATTCCGTTAGTTTTTCCATTAAACCAAAAATTTCGTTAAATAGACACTTTTTATATATAGAAAGATATATCGGTGCTCATTAGATCATTTCCGTATATATATATATAATCAAAGTTGTAGCCAGATGGGTCAGCTTTCCAACGCATTTTGAATCGCCTCAATCGAATATCAGAATACAAAGTTATGATAAAAACACTGAAAGAAGGTGCATCTGCCTGTTTAAAACAAGAAATTCCGTTTCATAATCCGTTAAAATAACAAATTCCGTTAATTTTTCCGTTAAACCAAAAATTTCGTTAAATAGACACTTTTTATATATAGAAAGATATATATACACACACACACCAGTTATTAAATTCAATTATGCTAGGCATAAAGCTAGTTCGACAAAAAATTTGAAAGATAATAAGGTGGCATGTATTTTGACTATTGATTTGAATTTCACATATTCAAATTAAATGTCAAAATGCATGCCACCTCATTATTGTCAATAAATGTGTAAAAATCATTTATGCAAGTAACATAATTTTGTTAAATTTTACAAGAACAATACATTCTTTATGATTTAACAGGAAAATTAAAATAAAAAGTAATATTGAAGAGTATTTTTTTTTTCCTTTTTCTTCACTTCAATGACGCTTGGTGAGGTACACCTCAACGTTAGCCCACGAGTCTATAAATTGATATAGCCATATAATTCTATGATTCAGCCCCTTTTTGTCTATCATTAGTAAGAGAAATTGAGTTTTTGAATAGTAAATTTTTGGAAAATATAAGGTTAAAAAGTATTAAAAAAAAATTTAAATTTACATGCAAAATATTTTATTATGAGAATATACAATTGAAAATGATTTCGAGGACAAAAGAGTTTTAAAATAATAGAAGACAAACGATAGCTTAATAGTATATTACATCGATCATTTATCAATTTACTAATATTTTATTCCTCTCTAGCAAGTGAAGGAATGCCTCCCAATCGAAAGTATTTCGACTATTATTGGGATAAGGATTAAGATTTTTTACTAGACCTTCGTGATATTTCTTTTTCCAATTTAAAAAATTTTTTGAATACGGAATTGGGATTAAAAGACCTTGTTTGGTTCAACTGAAAAGGTAAATTAAAATATAAACTAAAAGTCAACGTGTAGGTAATTTTATTCACACATTTAACCCACGTTTGACAACCATTAAAATGAATTTTTTTGGAAAAAATGAGTCGTTCACTCATTTTACCCAAAAAAATATTATGAATTAGATCAACTTCAGTAAATTTTATTTGCCCTTTTTTTTTCTTATCTAAAGAATGAAATAAAAAAGCATAAATTTAATGTTTGAATTTGCATTGATTTATTGTTTTAAGGTTGTATCGAGACAAATGTACGAATATTGTATCGTTTTATGTTTAGAATGTTTCAATTTAAGAGTTATAGTGAAATTTCAAACCAATATATTTATTTTTAATTTGTTTAAAAAATGTTATTTTTATGCAATTAAAATTGTTGTTTAAAACCAAGTCTCCATTTGGTGTGAATTAAGATAATATTTTTAGTATATTTTGTTAAAAGTTGATGAAATGTTTGGCCAAAAAGCTTTGAATCCCATAAAATGTGTAGTTAAAATTAATTATTGTTCACCAAACATTGAGAATTTTAAACCATTTAAATTTGTTTAATTCGAACATAATTCAAAAATCGTCCAAATTGAATCGAGTTGATATCCACAACAAGCATTTGTCCTTTACCAGCATTCTAATATAGCAGCAGTTGAATATCTATTGTAGGAATGGCACCGAATGGACCATCAATTGAGACAAAATCCAGGCTCCCGTTTGGCCCTATTATTTGAAATTTTAATGATTGGAATGTTGTTTTTATGAAAAACGTGTAGTTAAAAAAATAAAAAAAAATTGGAATTACGCGTGATATTATTTTATTGAATAGTGTGATTGATAAGAAGAGAGAAAAACGGATTATAATTTTAAAGAAGCCAAACAGAGGCTAGAATCATATTGAGAAAGAGGAGCATTTGCTCCGTCCGGACTATTTGTATAAAGGCCCAGTTATGAAGGAAGACACAATGGACCCTAAACTCTAGATACCCATATAGACCTATTATTCGGCCCATGAACTCGGGTTCGCCTCCCTCCCTCCCATCGTCTTCAATTTCAACTGAAATTATTTTACTACAATTTCGCAAATCTCACCGCTAAAGCGATCGATTACGAAACTTCAGGTTCGTACAATCAAAAATGACTCAGATTCCAGCAATATTATAGTATAGATGTTGTATTTCTTAAATAGAAAAATTATCATAATAATCGCAGAAAGATTTCTTTAGATTTCTGCAGACAAGTGAGTATAATTAGAATCTTATCCACATTAATTGCTAATCCTCTACTTAAATAAATTCTAATTGACGATGTGCTCATTTCCATGATTATTATCTCCGTTCTTCTAGATGTGAATTCCGATCATTATTTTCCGTCCAAGGTTTTGAATTGATTCATTGTGCTAGCTGTTTTTATGGAACAGTGATTATTCATATTAGGTTTGTATTAGTTACTACTTGATTACATAGATTGCTTGAACATGTGAAGTAATTTACGTGTGCACGCATCTATATCTACATTATAACTTAGGTATATGTACTAATATATACTGTGGTGGGCTGTAAAATAAAATAAAATAAAATTTCTGCCCACTGTATATATGCAATTATTGTGACTGTATGATTAGTTGTAGATGTCTTTTCTATGCATGTATGAATTGAAGACTAATGTTCATACCATTAATATTTAAATAAGGGTGTTAAAATATGTGTATAAAATACATTCTCCATTTCGTTTATGCGAAATTGTGTTAACTTTCAGGATGGTACATGATGCTTCATCATTAAGTCATGTATAAAAGAGAATATTAGATTTCACGGGTTTCTGAAGTTGTTGGTTTGTTTATGTTGTTTAATAATCTTGTATGCTAAGTCCTGATCTGGGAGGGTTTCTTCATTGATGTCAAATCGAATCACAATTTTTATCGCAATCTAATTTCTGCTATCAATACACTGAGTCTGCAAAAATTTATATGCTGATTGTTACTCATATCAGGTTGTTGTTAGGATCAAAGAAAGAAGACAAAAATAAATTAAAAATAAAATAAAATCCTTAGGATAATAAAATAGATGGTGCAGAGTTCTTGTGGAGATACTGGTGTCATAGGTGTTATGAGATGGTGAATCCAATTCTAGAGATTAGAATGTTGAAATGCCCCATCGGTGATGGTGGCTTCCTTGAAGAAATGGCCACTGCTGCCAGTTTAGAAAGTGTTAAATTGTTGGTAGGCCTTTTGGGAGAGTAATCTATAGGTCCTGGCTTAATCTAATTTGCCTCTTCATCATTTGCTGGGGTACAATCCATATAAATATGGGATTTACCCCCTCAGAAGGGGTTGATATTGGTCTACTGCTGCCTAGGAATAGAAGCAGTCAAAAAGAGTTGCTTTTTGCCCATGAGAGAAATGAAGGGATCCGATACGATTTGAGAAAAACTTATTGTTCCACATCACTGTTGTCTCCTGAGAGATGAAAACTTTGACATATTATACTTTCTAGAAGTCTCATTTTCTTGAGCTGATTGGGACAGAAGTTGATAAGTGAAAGTATGGCATATTACTTATCTAAAAAAGTCAAGACTAGGTTGGGAGTGTTCTTACTTGGGTGTATATGTACACTTGTACGTGTATATCTGGATGTATAGATGCAATAGTATTTCTTTCAAATTCTTAAAATTGCGTACTTTGTTGTTTTTTTCTGTATGATGCAAACAAAAATTTGCTGTTGCAGGCTAGCATGGGGGTATATCTAAGCACTCCCAATACTGAAAAGGTCTCCGAGGATGGTGAGAATGACAGGCTTAGATATGGCTTGTCATCCATGCAGGGATGGCGCTCAGCCATGGAAGATGCTGTAAGTACCTTTTGCTTTCTCATTATTTAAGATCTGGTCGTGGTTTGTATTTCACTCTAAAATGATTTTAATCATAAAAATGAGGATTTTTTCTCCAAGTTATTGCTGACCAACATCTTTTTCCGGTACTGCCTAATCATAAATGCACATAACTTATTTCTGTATATGAAACAAGAGAAACATCAGAATATTGAAGTTTTGACCTAAACACTTCTGAATCAAAGCATACAGTTTTGAACTGATATGTGAATCTTTTAACACAGCATTTGATTCCTAAAAAAGCTGAATATATATCTTTTTTTTTTTGTTTTTTGGATTGGAGATATTTTCTTGTTTGTATTTCGTTTTTCTCGATCTTGTTTTATATTATTGACATGCTTAAATGAGATATTCTACAGCATGCAGCGTACACTGATTTGGACAATTCAACCTCTTATTTTGGTGTTTATGATGGACATGGAGGTAAATACATGCCCAATACCCTTCGAATTAATGACTTTTGTTGTTTACTTATCTTTTAAAGGGTGACAGGTTTATTAGTCTCCATTTTCATTGAGGACTTTCATCCGCGTATGGTCTTATACAGATTTTCAACTTTGCTGGCCTCAGTTAAATGTTAACTGATTCTTAGTTTATTGAATCACTTCATTGCCTAGAAAATGGAGGTGCATCCGTTAATAAACCTCAAGTAGAGATAGAATGTCCCATGTGGAACACTATAAGACAATTGGTTCACAAATTTGACTCAGATATTGACTTTGAAGATGAAATATAACATCTGTTTATGATTAAAAGAAGTGAAACGAAAACTAAAAGAAAAGTTACCTTTTTGCTTTGATTTAGGACATGCATGGCCAATTTGTTTTAATTTCAATGCCCGAAATAAGAGTATTAGATCTAGAGGGACTCAAGATGGGAATGGAATGAATGAAGCACTAAGGTGAGTCAAAAAGAACAGATGGCTGAAATGATAATTGAAGTGTTGGTAGTTTTAGAGTAATAGTTTAGATCTCCGAAGAATGGAAAGGGTACGTCTATAAAGTGAATTACAAACTTCTTATATAAGCGGACAATGAAACTAAAAGCTGTTTGCTTTCAAGTTTGTTCTGGTTAGTAATTTCCGTCTTTCCCATCACCCTCCTTTTGCAAGAATGTTCTTTTTCATGGTGCTGTACATCTTTCGTGATGCTTTGTCCTCACTAGGTTCATTTCATCTTGCAGGCAAAGAAGTTGCCAAATTTTGTGCCAATTATCTTCATCAACAGGTACTCAGACATGAAGCTTACTTAGCTGGAGATTTGGCCACTTCTGTTCAGAAAGCTTTTCTCAGGTCGCTCAATCCTTTCGTTTTCATTCATTTATTTTAATTACAAATTTTGTTCACCTGTAAATTATATGTTCTTTTGTCCCGGGTTTCTAAAGCTAGGCCATGGTGTACCTCAAGGAATTGTAAACGTTTGAAGTTCTGTCATTTTGACCCTGAAATGTGCCCATTCATTTAAATGTCATAATTCAACAGTCTGCTAGGACTCGTGAGCTTAGAGACATATTCCAATCAATTCCTATCACTAAAATAGGCTGCAAATTCATACTTTTTAAGGATTTTGAAATAAAATAGCTATCACTTTTTCTTTTTAATTGTAAAATGATGTGCACCAATTTAAGGTTCTTTCCTTTTTAACTTATATGCTTTAACATTCTTCTATTTTCTGCTGCAGAATGGATGAAATGATGACCGGACCAAGAGGGCAGAGAGAGTTGGCTTTATTTGGTGGCAAAATGGACCAACTTGGGGGTGTTTTAGAAGGCTTAATACAGTCACCAAAGAGTGGTGAATTTAACAGCCAAATAGATGACTGGTCTTCTAAGGAGGTATTTGCTTTATCTTATTTATTTGTTGACTTGGCATGCATTTGACTAAGCCCTTGTATGAGCCACATTTTGAGAGGAAAAAAATGCATTTTGAACAGTGATTTTTGGAGAATGTGTGGTTAAAAATGAAGAAAACTGCAGTGTTTATTGGTTAAAAGCAGTGCCCACTCTGCACAAAACACGTGCATTTTGATCTCTGAGTTGAATGATATTTCTACTGACAAAATCATAAAGATTGAAAAGTTTAACCATCTATAATTCTCTATAAATGTGAGAAATTATATTCAATACGTGATTTTGATGCATTTTCTGAAAGAGAGATCTCTGGGGCCTGTTTAACTATTAGCAAACAGGATTGCATTCACTACATCAGTCCGGTCTACCCTCATTTGGACCTAACTGAACATCATGATTGTTTAGATGTGTTGTAATTTTCTTTTGGCTGTGTTTTTATCTCACATTAATTCTTGCTAAATATTTTTGTGAATGTAGGAAGCTCTCTCTGATTACAATGGACCATCTGCTGGATGCACAGCTTGCGTTGCTATTGTTCGAAATAATCAACTTCTTGTTGCAAATGCTGGAGACTCACGCTGTGTTCTCTCTCGGAGGGGTCAGGTGAAGTTTTTCTTTTACTTTCCGAAGGGTAATTTTTAAGTTTTGTTATTTGGAAATACTCTTGGTTATTTCTTCCAAACACAACAGTAATTAAAAGAACGGTTTTAATGTACAAAAAATGGGATGTTGAATTCTCTGGAGGAGGTAAGCATCCGAGACCTTGGTTTAGAATTGTAGAGAAAGGTAGGATTTAACAAGAGAAGTTAGACTGGAGACAGCAGAAATAGAATGAGCCTGCAAAGTAGTAATTGTTTAACTAATAATTATTAGAAAGCACACGAATAATATCAATTTAAATTCAGAGTTTTATTTGAGAATAGAAACTATGCATTATTTTCAGTTTAACTGTATATTTCATCATTTTGTGTCACCACCATTTCATAACCGAAATATGTAATCCAGATTCCTAAATGCCTTGTGCTTGCAAATGTAGAATTAACAGTTCAGGGAAATTGTTGGTTGTAATACATGTGGTGTCACGTCTCTGTAGGATATCCATAATTTTGTGAGGCATGAAATCTTTGATGTAGGCACACGATCTGTCCAAGGATCACAAACCTGACCTTAATGCCGAGAAAGAAAGGATACTGAACGCTGGTGGATTTGTCCAATATGGACGAGTCAATGGGAGCCTCAACCTGTCTAGAGCAATTGGTGATTTACTCATAAACCTATTTAGATGTAGGGGAGAGTATGCTGCTTTGTTTCCTGTTGTCCTGGTATGACCATTTTAAATCTTTCAGGAGACATGGAACTGAAGCAAAACAAATCGTTACCCGCAGAAAAACAAATCGTGACAGCAAACCCTGATATAACCACTGTATGTTGCTTCTCAAACTTAGTTTGTAAGTTAGTTTCTATTTGACTGTATCCAGGCAATCTCGATGGATGAATTATAGTTCAAAGATTTTGTGATTTAATGATTTGTGAACATAACTGGTACCAATCGTATAACTTTGATTGAATGGAAAAAGAGTAAAGCTGTGGCATATATTATTTGCTTGCTTCTTTTTACCTTGAGCTAATTTTTGAGTCAAAATCAAATTTATTTCTTTATTGTTCTTTTTTCCAAACTAGGTCGAGCTTTCCGATGATGATGATTTTCTTATTATCGCTTGTGATGGAATATGGTAAGTCTGTTGCAGGTATTTATATGAATTTGGCTTTTACTGTGCTGAGCTGTCTGTTTGGTCCTAGTTTGGCCCGTGCTGAGACGGACATTGCCGTGCCTTTGTATCAAGGTCTGCAGACTTTGCAGGGCAGCCCATGGCCCCCGTGGGCTTCTTTTTGTTTTTTCCTCTTCTAGAAAAAAAAACCAAAAAACTACTGGGCCTGGACCCTGGAGGCCTGGCATGGACTGTTTTGTGGCCTAGTCTGTCGACACCCCTATCCACTCTTGATCAAGCATCCCAGATTCTGTAACGATCTGTTTAAATGGGATCTTCGTTCTCACTCTAACAAACTTACTTCTAAACATTATATTGTTAAAACTTAAAAGGTCTATACTGAGTTCTTCATTGGAAGCGAGATTAGCTCCTCCCTGAATAACTTTTTCCATTTCTTTTATTTTTTTAGAAGAAAACTTTTACCATTTCTATGCAGTAGCTAATTAGTATTTTTCTATTAGCATGATAGGTGCAATTTTCCCATTTGAATCAACAGATGCTTATCGTTTTCTTTTTTGTTTTATAAATATTTTTTCTTTTGGTACATTCTTTGTTTTCATTTATTTATATAAACGGACTGGAAACTAATGTGAAGAATACTATTAATCATTTTGGATGATGATGAACTATTTCAGATGGTTAGAAACTTTTGTAATCTCTTCATAAGGTAGTTTTGGGGTCTTCATTTTAGTACGATCCATACGTATCTATTGCCTTTTATGTTACTTAATCTCCATTTTTGTTTTGCTAGGGATTGCATGTCAAGTCAGGAAGCAGTTGACTTTGTACAAGAACACTTGACTTCAGTAAGCTTCGTATGCTTCTTGTTAAACATTTTTGATAGATTTGATCATGGAATTGAAACCAACTGCCGTAATAAATTATGCAGGAAAGGAAACTATCTACAGTGTGCGAAAAAATGCTTGATCATTGTTTGGCACCATCATCAGGTGGGGAAGGTTGCGATAACATGACCATGATCCTCATACAGTTCAATAAATGTGGTGACAGAAAAGCATCAACGTCATCTGATCAGCAAACCATAGCAGATCATAATGCACCTGGTCCTTAATCTAACTTCTAGTTTTGCATTATCGAGTTACATATTTCGTTTGTAGTACTTATTTCTCATGGTACATCGTTGGTCTGAGAGAAACTTGTTTGTAAATGTTAATTTTCATAAGAAAATAGTGTCCGGAATTTATGCATGTAGCTTTGTTGGTGGGTACAAACTGAAACATTGAGTAATAAACTAGTCTATTATAGATTACAAGCTATTTTGGGCCGCCTTCGTTAGGGCATTTTAGTCTTTACTTGATTAGGATTACATTCTAGGGTTCATCCGTTTATAAATACTCACATTTTACTTCTTTCAATATTGAACAATACGATTAGCTGATATTGAATGAATTTGTTAATGTGAATATTAGGGGATAGAGTCCTGCTACAAGTACAAGGGCCTGATTTACAAACCCATACGGGTTGGCCACAGTTTTTTTTTAAATACAGAAGTGGGGCCTCGGTTACAGTGAGGGGGCCAGGGGCTTGTAATACCCTTGTGAAAATGTCCCTGTACTTGGGGAATTGCTCGTGGGGATATTGAATGAAATTTTGTAGCATGAGGCATCGATGTGTTTTTGTAGTTGGGAAGTTCAATAAAATTGGGACATCTATGGGGGAATATTAGATACATGCTATTTGACTCTTCGATGATTTGCTTTATACCCTATTTTTGAACGTAATTTCGAAAATGAAGGGGATTTTGTCCTTCTCCTGGACAGATTCTACATCTCTGTAGATTTCTTATTATCTTCATTTTTTATAGTATTGATGATAGAAGAAAATATCATCACTTGGGGAAACTCCCACCAATTTGTCTCACTTCCTATTCATAATTCCTTTTGATTCATCTGGGAATGATTTTTTTGATTATCTAGAAGGCGTAGGAATTGATTTTTAAGAATAGATGGTCAATTTCAACTTTTATCTTCAATGAATTCTATCTATACTTCAAATATATATTTAATAGAAGTGATAAATTGTTGATGACCAATTTGTTCTATTTTAAATAGATTGGAGTTTGTGACTCTTGTTATTCCCAATGCCATTCATAAAATCAACCAAAACATACATAACTTGTTCAAATTTAATGCACTTTTGGCCCTCATTATTCCATGTTATAATGAGAGGAATAATATTTTTGTGAGAATGCGTGATTAAAAAAAAAAATTGAATTTACGTGTAATATTATTTTATTGAAAAATGTGTGGTTGATAAGAAGAGATAGAAAAATGAACTATAATTTGATAAAAAATAATGGGTGTCAAATGGGAGCTTAAAATCGTACAAACATCCGTGGAACGTAGCAAGGATTTACAAAATTCGCTCACGTTTCACTTAATTCTACAGAGAAAACTCAATGCGATATAAGTAAGCGAAGTAGTTTGTCAACTCCTTGCTTGTGTCCTTGACAAAAGAGAACCGTCACCACTATTAGAAGACATAAATTATCTAGTTAAAAATTTAAATTAGCGACTCAAGTTCTTATTTAATTTTCAAAAATGTGCAACCAGTACGAAGTTTCCTCGTGGTATTACGCACATTGATGAGGTGGAATTTCTGGGAAGGTGAAGACGAGATGGGAACGGGATTAAAATATCTCCTCAATACTTTGAATGAGTATATAATTTTTGGCTTCTAAGTTAATGCTATGTATGACCAAAAGTAAACCATTGGCCGTGTATTAAAAAATGTACATACAAAAAACGTGTTTGTATTGGATGAATTGGAGCCACGTCAGCTTCATTCGAAAAATTTGGATTGGCTTTCTAATATTTAATGTGCTTAGTTATGAACAAATTCACTCATATTTAAAACATTATTTAACGTAGGAGTGTATTAGAAAAAATGTAAGAAAAAATTATGTTTTCAACTATATTAATTACAATTTCTTAATCTATGAAAATAGAGCAAGCTTATCTTTGTGGGATGATGGGAGTGTAAAAATTTGCGTTTGAGAATTAGAATCCCAATTCTATCATCAAGAGCAATAAAATCTCAAAAAATAAAAATAAAAAATAGCAAGATTCTTAGTTGTTCGCTTCAATGTGAGATTACGTCATCTTTCGCTACTACAATAATTCATTATGATGAAAAGAAGTTTATAAGAGAAAATTGTGCACACAATATCTTTGCTAGCATCTCTCTCTTCGTTATGGTAATACAAAACTCTAATGACGGCGCTTTATTTAACAATCCGCCACTTGGAGATTAAACATCCATTTGTCCTTCATTAAGGGCATGATTGATAGATATTAAAATCGGATTAAAATTAAAAATTTAGTCGTTATTGTTGACTTTTATTAGACGAGTAAAACCCAATAACAGTTATATTTTTAATTTTAATAGGATTTTAAGCACGATCGAACATGCCTAAAATTATAATTCATTTATCCCCCTCTTCTTATGAAACGCACATTCTTCAATAAAAAATAATGAATGTAATCCCATCTCATTTTTCTTCTTTTTTAATCACATTTTTTTTTTTTGAAAAGTCCAACTATTAAAATTTCAAATAATGAAGGCCAGACAGGGCTAATTCACCATTAATGACTCATCTACCGCAACAATAACTCTCAATCCTCAAAAGAGAAGTTCAAGCACAAAACTTCAATTTTTCAATCAGAACAATTTTCATCAGCATGCCTTAAATATTTTCAAATATCAAGATTTTATCCTCTGAAATTGATTTGATGAAGTAATAGCGAATGAATTATTCTATAAGTACATCATTTTTTTTCACATGTTTCATACAGGGTCTCCCTGTGATTTGCCATTGCCAAAAATTGTTTTTGGCAACAACCAATCACAAGGAGACAATTGTCTTCCTGTACAGAACCTATGAAAATCATGTACTTCTAGCATGTTTCATAGTAAATATGTGTGCAAAATAATTAGACTCCACAACTTTAACAAATGAAAGTTTTCAACAAAAGTCAAAACTCATCCTACAGAAAAAGCTTGATGATCAAAACCCTAGTAGAACATGAACTAAAGACTCAAACTACTAGAACTTCAGGGTCTTCTATGAAGATATAAAATACAAATGTAATATGTAGAAAGTAGAGCCATATACTCCCAAAGCAACAAAAAAAGGAGAGAGATATTATTCAACATATATTGATGTCAAGCATCAATTTAGATGACAACTAAATGATAAATTCACTTAAGGTTGTGTTTGGTAATTTTTCTAACCAAAAAAATGTATTTTCTAACCATTAACATCAAAGTCAGCCACAAAATTTGACTGACCCTCTCACATGCGGGTCCCACTGACAACATTAAACGGTCGCAATTTTAATTAAAATCGGGGCCAAAATTGTTACCAAAGAGACACTAAATGTTATTCATATAATTCATTTAACTAAATTTATCAAATACGATCATTTACATTGGTGCTAGGACATCATTATTAAAAAAATAAAAATAAAAATACCCCAAATGAAACTTTCCAATTATTTCGTTGCTGACTCGGACCAAATCCAAAGGCCATTTGTGGATAAGATCGTCAAAATTGACCCCACACACAGAGTTGTACACGCACATATCCATCCATATACGTGTGTGTACGCATCCATTGAACATTGTTTGTCAATTTCTATGACTCCACTATTGCAATCAACGAGTGTCACCTCATAATTAGCCTTTATTTTAATTATCTATCACGCATACTTCTATAAAAAGCCATATGCCCATCACATTGCTCAACAGTATCGCTTTTCGAAACTGCTTTGATAGCCAATTGTAATTTCACTTTAATCGACAATTTATACAAGAATTCGTGAATTTCGCTTGTGGGTTTTCAAAATCTTGGGATTCTTTTGAGTTTAATATACAGAATCGTGGGAATGGCTGCTGTTGTTGTTGGTTGTGGTTCTGCTTCAATTTCTTGGGTTCAATTGAAGGATTCTTCATCAAAGAGGAATGTGAAGAATAGATTTAGGGTTTCATGCGTTTCATCTTCTGCTGTTAGTGATCCGTATAACACTCTCAGGATTCATCCTGGTGCCTCTGCATCTGAGGTCAAGAAAGCATTTCGACAGCTTGCTCTTCAGGTAAAATTTTCATTTATCCACAAAAATATATATATTTTTTAATCTTTGAGTTAAAAATGTGTTCTCTCTTGAATATTTTGAAATTGCATTGTCATTAACTTGTCGATTTCGATTTAATTTCAGTATCATCCAGATGTCTGCAGAGGAAGCAATTGTGGCATCCAATTTCACCAAATTAATGAAGCCTATAATGTAAGTAAATTTATCAACTATTTTACACATCTTAATGTACAAATCCCTGTAATGGTCGATTCTTGATGTGTATTTTTTTGTTTCTCAAAATAATGTTTATATTAATGTGGTGCAGATTGTAATGAGTAATTTGAGAGGGGAATTAAGCAATCCCGAGATGCAAATGTACGAGCAATACGACATGGCAGGGGACGACGAACAAATGAGAGGGGTGGACGATCAAGATTGGGATCTCTGGGAAGAATGGATGGGATGGGAAGGAGCAGGAATACGCGACTACTCATCCCATATAAACCCTTACATTTGATCTTAAAATTTAGGGTTCATACTGTTAATATGTTGTGTGGGAAAGTGGAAGCCCACATCTTCATAGATGTTTGAGTTGTACATAATTACGCTCATCTTCTTTACTCTGCACATAGTACAATCAGAATAAGGGATCATATCCATAATTCTTGCTAATTTTACTTTAAGATTACTATGTAAATGTAACATGAGTTAATCGAATACTTGATTTCTATGGCTACCTACTTTTAGTATTTCAGTCTTCATGGTACATTTGCTAATTTTGGCACCAAATACCTGTATATAAAAGTTCAAATCCTGTTCGCAGAGTAGGCTAATAAGATGCTGGCCATGTTGGCTTCATCCTGGGCGACACATCCTGGATCAGTCGTTGCCCTACACGGGCCAATTCAGGAGAGCCTGACCAACAATCAAGATTTCTGATAAATGAAACTCTATGGTTTGGGTAATGAAAAATGCAACCAGTGTCTGGCACAAGAATCTCTCTACAAATTAACCCAGAAACATAACTGTCGTCAAATTGATGTCTATGGAAAATATATTCCTACAATGCAATAAGCATTAGAACTTAGAAGTTATTATCACCCACAATGATTTCGAAAGTACTTTATAAGAACAGAGTTTCCATATTATGATAAGATGAAAACCAAAACCCAGATTTCTGGAGGGCTACAAGATTGTCGCTGAAGCAAAACAATTATTCTTCATTTAGATATGGATGAACCAGCGGAGAGTCTTTCATTCCTTGCTTTATCAGCTTTTTCCATGTAATCTTGATGCGATTGATGTTTTGCTCCTGGAAAAGAAAACAAACTTTTGTCAGGTCCAGCTGTTTCACTATAACCAACATATGAAATCATGAAAAGAAAGGTACAAGCCAATGTAATTATCTAAGAAGAAATTCCAACTAAAAATATAGAAGATCCTAGCAGAAAACCACTAGATCTCTGTTCGTCTGGCAAACTCTACCACATCTTCCAAAATTTGTTTTGTATTCGTTTCTTTTCATTATCCGCTCTTTTCAGTTTGTCTTCCTTTTTGGCAGAGGAAGGGGAGATGATTGCAACACGAGGAGCTCCTGACCAAATCAGTTTCCAATTATACCCAAATTATTTCCAATAATTCCGAAATGAAAATGTACACACCCTAAAGAACAGAGATTTGGCTGGATAGGAGGAGATAATGATAGCAGATTTGCTTCCTCAATTGAGGCAATGGGTTTTGAAGATCCTCTTCATTTTATTTACGCATTCATGTTGTTGAAGGTCGCTCTAAGCAACATTGCAATATGTATACAACTCAACAAACTAGTCCAAAGTTGAACTACACAGGAGAATATATCCATGAAACAAAATTTCAAGTGTATGAAGGTCCTCAACCAAGCCAACCTCAATTGATTCACTGACCACCAATTACATAATCTGATTCATGAGATAGATATCTTTATATTTTAACAGCAAGGTAGTCTTGGTAAACACAAATTAGCTTTAGGGGCAATAAGCATAACACTATTAAGCCGCCTTTATTTGACAAAGAAAATTCTCAAGCTTATCTGTATTTAGAAAATCCATGTTTGTAGGAAAAATGAGAGTAAAGCCAAAACCAACAGGAAGAAGGAACTATTTGCAGTGAGATTTCACTTGGTCTCTGTCAGCATTTATCTCATTTTTCCTTTCCTTCCTGGCTGAGAAAAGAAAGGTGCCCGTGCCAGCATTATTTTCTCTAACTCTCTTCCCCCACTACATTTCTACATGTCTCACTGTACTTAAGGCCCTCTCCCTCCCGAGTCATGACCTCTAACTCTTCTTCAACTCCCCCACTCTAGGATTGCTGCCGTGACTATGACTTACTTCCAATAAAATTGTTTGCATAAAAGTATATTAACTATGACAAATTTACGAAGGTTTAGCTTGATAAATTTCATAACCTGTTCTTGCTTAGCTCTCATGGACTTAACCACTCGAATTGAACTATTCATTTAAAAAAAGCCATCAAATACTCCAAAAGTAACAAGAACAATTCCAAATATCAAAACATTCATTCCAACTGATACTAACCGTAGAATTCTCAAAAAATCCAGCTATGTTAAATATATTTTTAAAATTTATTTGTCGAAAACCTCCCATGAATCCTATTTCTGGTAGTAGCAATAGCACGCAGTAACAAATCAATAGCCACATATAAATCAATCCCATAACAGAAAGTAGCAGCTCCACAAAGAAATGCCAAATTTTAATCAAATTTTCAAAATCACATTCACAAATAGTGAAAAATGAGGATGCCCAAAACTCAAATCAACTCACGAGTATTAGAACAACAGAAAAATGTGAGAAGAAAACGAACCTCGATTCATGAGGTACCAAGGGACACCAAAAATGACACCAATTACGGCGATGCCTCCAAGGACATGCTTCTTTTCTCCACTATACAAATAGTGTTCCAATTTAGCCTTGAATCCTCCTCCTCCTGCTCCCCCAGATCCACTTTTCTTGGAATCACTGCTCATTTTTTCTATTTCTTTTCGCGAATTTCAGTTCCTTATAAACTTAAAACCCTCGTTCTATTAATTTTGTGGTGGTTTAGTTGAGGCCCTATTGTCTGTTTTTTTAATGTTTAATTGGCCATGTTTAAATAAAATTGAAAATTACTTTAAAATAACTTTTTTATTTTGAATTGTGTTTATATTATACTTTAAAGTAAAAAATTACATATTTTAAAAATAATGTCCCCATTATTTTTAAAATATATTTTTATCTATCTTCTTTTTAACTAAATATTCTTCGATAAAATAATATTACTGTAGACTCAAAAATTTTCCTTATTTTTTAACCCCACATTTTCCGTCAAAATACTATTCCAAAATGCATTTTAAGCAAAAAATGGGGCTCAATAAGACCGCTCTTATTCTTTCAAATTTTGACTAACTGCATTTTTTATTTTATTTTTTGGTGCTGCTTCGCAATTAATTCTAATTCTATTTCCATTGACATTATTCGCCTTTCTAGTAAAATAAGCAATCTCTAGTAGAATAAGTGATTAGTTGCTTAGTCCTTATTTGCCGTTCATGTTTTTCAATCTCATTTTCAATCATACATTCTATGCGACTCGCAACTTTTATCAACTTTCCAATAACACTTTAAATCAACTTTTATCAAAATCTACTGAAAAACTAAACAGGGTCTTAATATACATCAAATAGAAAAAAAAAATGCGATTTTTTACACACTGCTTCCATCTCCACAAACCAGTTTCTCCTAGTGTACATCCTGCATACAATGGATTTAAAGAACAAATAGAAGTTGTTTCAAAAGCTGATCTACATTGTTCTAATATTTCTCCTCGACTTGCTGGGAAATTTTGGAGGAGGAGACGGAGAAAACTCGAACGGACGCTGTGGGATTTCCATTTCCCGTTTCAAAATCTTAACAATCTCTCCAATGTCTGGCCGTAGTTCAGGCATTTTTTGTAGGCATGCAAGGGCCAAATTAATACACAAGCTAGCCTCGTCCTTGTTATACTCATCGCTCAGTCTCTCATCCACGAGTTCTAATATGTTTCCAGTATGAGCCAAATGCCTACACCAGCTTATTAAGTTTGCTTTCTCGAGCTTCATTGGCGATGAAAGTACGTGAAGTGGCCGTCTACCTGAGACAATTACAAGTATTAAAACACCAAAGCTGTAAATATCGGCCTTCTCCATTAAGTATCCACATCCACTGTATTCTGGTGCAGCATAGCACAAAGTACCCCTCATGCTCGTTGTGCTACTTAACTCTCGACTGAAAAGATCTCCACTCCACATGTCACTCCCTACAGAACGGGAATCCTTCTTCTTCTTACCCTTCCTAAAACTGAACTCCATATCCGGATCATTCATATTATGGCTGTTGTGACTCGATTTTCTCCTCCTTTTGAAGCGTTTTCCCAAATTCAAGCGTACTTTGAACAGTTTCGTACTCCTTATTTGAAACTTGTTCACCTTATTATTCTTCTTGCTAAGTTCGTCAAGGTGTTCTTCTTTCCACCATTCTCGAATCTTCCGATGCTTCTTAGAATGCACTTTCCACCTCTTTGAATCCTCCTTCTCAATCGCACCACCAGGACACTCAAATCCCAGTTCTTGTAAAGGATTATCATTCGCTTTTTCAAATTTCTCCAGCTGCGTCGAATTAACCAAGTCAATTCTCGATGGGGGGCATTGATTTTCTTCGTCCCAATTAGAATTAGTTGAAGGGTGGATTTGGCTTCCTATCCACTCCTTGACATAATCTTTACTGCACAATTCACCATTACCATCCTGTTTCCACCACCAATCCTTTCCCCATTGTTTTCCACCCACATTATTACCATCACTATCATCCCTAACCATAGCAGCATTCAAGTTCAACTCCTTACTTGGACTGATGTTACTTAGGTCGTCGTTATAATTCACAGACTTGTTATCATCCCCCTTTCCATTTTCGATCATCGAGACCTCCTTGCCCTTCACAATCCTTTCTTTAATATCAATCTCATTCCCAAAATCACTACTCCAATTTAAAGAATTCAAGGCCAAATTTTTCACATTATGATAACTTCTGCAACTATTTTTCGACGAAGAAGAAGCTTGCAAAGCCAGAGCAAAATCTACCTCATCATGATCATGACTCTCCACTGGAGTCCCAATTGCTGGAGTCTCATTCTCACCACCTTCTCCAACTGCATTCATGTTCCCAGAAATCTCTTCACTCTTCAATAATTCTTGGCTCTTCCACAAGTCTTGACTGAACAAATCAACACCAAACTCACCCTCAAGCTTCAACCTCGACAACCCAAAATCCGAAAGTTTAGCCTTAAACTCTGAATCAAGCAACACGTTGCTTGGCTTCACATCCCCATGGATCACTGGTGGATCACATTCAAGATGCAAAAATGACAATGCTTTAGCAACATTAAGTATAATATCAAACCTCCTAGCCCAATTCAAACTCATATTATTACAGTTATTATTCGACTCTGAAAATAAAGACTCTTGCAAGCTTTTGTTAGGCATGTACTCATAAACCACAAGTCTCTTATTTCTATCCACACAATAACCCAATAAATTAACAACAAGAGGACAAGATTTTAGCCCTCCCAGAATATTTAACTCATTCTGAAACTCCTGTTCAAACTGAAATGAAGTTGAATCAAGAATTTTTATGGCTACCAATTTTCCATCCTTGAGAATACCTCTGAATACAGTTCCAGAGCCTCCTTTGCCAATGGAATTGGAATCACTGAAGTTCTGGGTGGCATCCTTCAGCTCTTTGTAACTATACCTCTGGAGCTTGTTTAAGGGTGTAGTGGAATCATATGGGCTCGTGCGTGACCTATTAACCAAAGAATACCACAGATAGTAAATGAAATAAAGAATGGCAAAGAGGATAACTAGACAAGAACAAATTGTTACTGTGAAGAAAATTGTGCTTGTTTTTGGTCTTGAATTTGGTTTGAATGGCTTTCTTGAGGTCATTCTGCTGCTGGTTTATGGAAATGGTGATGGGAGAAGTTAGGTTCAGGAGGGGGGGGCAGGATGAATTTTGCAGGAAACTTGTGTTTCTATGCTTGACAGTTGGATAGCCATATATAAGTGTAGATTATTATTATAAGTTCGAGTTCAGTCGATGTTTATGTTTAGTACATAAAATCTGGTATTATTAACAATTTAAAGAATATAATTTTAGTTTCTTGTTGAAAATGCATTTTGGAATTATGATTTGACGGAGAACATGTGAATAAAAAATAATTAAAAATTTTGGATTTACGTATAATATTATTTTCTTAAAGAATTTGTGGTTGAAAATGAAAGAGAAAAAAATGTATTTTGAAAATAATGAAAAACAAACGAGCGCTTAATCCGAAATTCAGAATAGTTTAGAATATTTTTGGGTATTTTGAGTTAGTTTAATGGAAGTGAGTTGAAATTAGGGGATGAAGATGATTAAAGAAAAGGAGGGAGCTTTTGACTAAAGGGAGCCTTTTCAGGGTATTGGGGGAAGAAAATTGGAAGAAGAGAAAGCAAGGTGGAGTGGTGGGTAATGGGTTCCAGTCTATTTGGCTGATTTTCATTTTCTTTGATTGGCAATAATTAATTCAGAAGAATTTCAAAGCAAATTTATGAAAATGTCCCCTTTTTTTCATTTGTCAAAATGAAAAAGAGATTATATTCAAATTTTTAATTTAAAAAGTTCCTTTTGGACTAATACCTAAATATTCTTTCTTCTTCAATTCATACACTCATTCCATGACGTTTATGGAAATGAAAAAGATAATCACTCCTTAACCAGTCTTGCCCTCGTTTCTTTATTGACCATAAATCTAAATCTATTGAGCACCAATTCAATCAAAGAGACTATGCATTACAAAGTTTAGTAACCTCGGCATTAGCCATAAGTTCATGTTTTCTAACTCTATCGATAAAAATGTTGTTGGTGTAAATGACAAGGACGTTTTGGACATTTGCTCAATCACCCCAAATCTTTTACCTAGAATTATACTATGTTCTTTTAATCGGGCTAACCCACGTGTAAATGATCTATTCATCATTAATTTGTTCCCAAAAGATGGCCTAATTTGAAAGAAAAGCTGCAATTTATCATTCGATTGCATACTTTAAACAATAAAAGAAGGCCAAAATAGGAAGGTTTGAAACATATTGCAGCAAACTTTAAAAATGTATGATTTCTCAAAATAATTTATTTTATTTTATCATCAAGTTAGTGACAAATCCTTTTGCCGTGTTTGGTATACCGTCTTATATATTGTACAGAGACCGACAATGATTATATCCCCTGCTATTCAATTGGCCTGTCAATTGTGCACTAAATTGCTATTTTACATTGAAACAACGTTTTATAAAAGGAAAAAAACTATAACAATCATAGATTCTTGATTGTTGATCAACTCCAATAAAAGGATCACTACCTTAAGAAAGAAATTAAAAAAAAAAAAAAAAAAAAATCGGGTTATGCTTATACATCAGAGAGACATACAATACATAATTATTTTTGGATGACGCTATTTACATCCACGATTTTTATGTATACATCCACTTCTAAAAGATGATTATATTATATTTTTAATCTTATGTAAATTTGCTTAAACAGTCATATATAAAATTAAATAAAAATATATCGTTCTAAATTCATCCACTTATATTTATTTTCATTAAATTCTTTTGAATCTTTTTATATTATTTTAAATTTTGTGTTTGACTAAAATTCTAACCATCATAAAATATCATCTTCCACTAAAATCATAAAATCCTAATAATCATCAAATATCATCGCAAAACAATAATGGAAGAGATACCATAAGAGGATTTTTATTTTAGACTAAAAGATGAAAGTTGTGATTTGATTCTAGATTTACTTCGTAGCTCATTGGAGAATATGGTCATTCAACAACCACAACAAATAATAATAATCTTAATTATGTGAAAAGATAATCTACTATAGGTTCTTAAATTAAATTTGGGCATTATGTTCAATCAAGAAGTTGCTTTTTTAGGGCGTATGAGCATAAAGTATCAATTGATGGAAATAACATATTCAACCCTCGTTGAGAACAATAGTTAAACCCTTCTATATTTTTTATAGATCTTCTCATTCTAGGATTATACTTTATGTAAGTGTGCAATAATAAGTCCATTGCAGAGTTAAATAAGATGGAAGAATATTTACATTACCTTAAGTTTCCATTGGGATATAAGCACTAGATTTTTGGAATTGTACTTATGTATCCGATTTTACCCTGCTACATATCGGTTGATGATAAAGTGAATTTTGTTTCAAATTCATATATAAATTTTAATTTATTTCAAAATTATGCATAACCTCAAAAAGTTGATTTTTATCGAATACAAAAATGAATATTTGTCAATCGAATATAACGGGTCAATTAATGTGGTAAATAACACACGGGACATTTAATTTTATTTTGAATATAATATTTTGTTTATAGAATTAATTATTGAATTGTAAGAATATTGATCTTATGTGTAATAGGGATGAATATGGTGATTTTTTTTTTTAAATTTTGAAATTGTATTAGGGATGTATTTAGAGTGTGGATATACATTATTTAAACAAATGAATGCAATAAGGACAATATTGAAATGTGACGTGGATGACAATAATAATTTTTTAAAATTTTAATATTTTAGTATGGATGAATATAGAGTGGCATATATAAAAACTGTAAATGTAAATAGCCGTACCCTCATTTTTCTTATCGACTCAATAATGGTACATATACCAAGTTTCGTATGAATGCATTATATCTTATATGACTAATATGTCTGAAGTGCTCTATTGAAAAATAAGCCCTTGACTAAAAGTGTCTTTTGAATGTGCCAATGTCATTGCCACGTTAGAGTTCCATCATTCCTCTATGATTTTGAATTGATAATAAAATAGACTCAATGTCGTCAATGAAAGTTTTCTTTATTTCGTAATCATTTGAATATGCGATGATTTATCTTACCGGTCATATCTCAAAATTCACGGATGTTCCATTGGACATTTTCCTCGGTTAAATTTTTCGATGATTAAATAGTGTGCCTAAAGATATATCGATTAAAGTTTGAACCATTCCCCCGTTCCAAAAGTTTGTAAATGTAATTTCGACAAAATTTTCAAAAAGTTGCCATTTCTCCAAGCGCTTTTATAATTGGACGCATATCGAAATGCATTGTGAAAGGTGAACATTTTGTACATTTTTCCATATAAATTATTGTTTCCACTATTATCTTTCTTTTTCGATTAATGCGCTCTGTGAAAATGTGTAAAGCTGTTGTTTTACCATTGCCATTATTAAAGAACCGAAAAGAAATAAAGGAAGTACTTTTTTTGGTGTCTATAAAAGAGTAATTATTTCGCAAAAGCAAGTGTTAGGTTGTAATTTACTTATTTGCTCACAATTCAAAATTCAAAATTGTAAACAAGTAAAAAAAATGATAATTACTTCTATTGTCAAATTTTTTTTGTAAAAGATTTCCTTTTTGACTTTTACTTTATAGTGTTTAGTTACTATCAAGTGTTATTTATTTTGACAAAGTTAATATGGTACGTAGTTTATTGGAACTAACGATGTGTTATTAATTTGCTCTTATTATGGTAATATCACTTGAGATTTTAAATCAGCGCTCCAACTTATAAAATGTGTAGTGGGTAATGCCTTTGTAAATAGATATGTCACATTATCATTTAAACGAACTTGTTAAACATCAATTTCACCACTCTGTCAAGATCATGGGTAGAAAAGAATTTTGGAGAAATGGGTATTGTTCTGTCGTCTTAAACGAATCCTTCCTCTAATGAGCTATGCATGTAGTATCATCTTTTTAGTAGAGTAATGATATTCAACACCAATATTGTCAAGTACCGATTTAGGTGGCAACTGCATAACATTAAATTATAAATTCATTTAAATGCAATGTCACATTATTCATAGCATTATTCGTAGTATTATACTCTAGTTTCACTAGTTTTAAATTGCACTAAAGTTCTTAATCTTTATTTATTGTTGTACTTTCGATCTTATCTTCTTTTTTTTTGTAGCATTCTTAACCTCAATCTTTCACTAATTAGCAAATCTAGTTTGGTTTGTGTCTAATTATTTTGTAAGTGTCTATAAATGATGGGAAAATATTTCATTTTACATTTTTTTTTTCTTATTTACAAATATAATGGGTAAATAAGTCTTTTTAATACTCTCCTAACCAACTTCATGGATACAAATCATTCTAATTAACGAAAGGATTATAATAAGAAATGTGACGGAAAAATATGGGATCTAACCGAGACAATTAGCAAAAGTTGAGAACTTTTAGACCCTATTTGACCTTAATTTTTTAAAGAATAATGTTATTTGCAGTTACTCACTGCAACAGTCGTCTTATGTAACACACACGTGTCAAGTGTGTATTTAATACATTAATGTGATAAAAAAACTACCACATTAATATATCAAATGACTACATGTCTGTGTGTGCCACTTAAGACGACTGTTGCAGTGAGCGACTATGAATAGCATCACTCTTTTTTAAAACTCGTTTTTTTTTTCCTTACTTATTTTCAACATATTTTTTATGCGGATCCACAACTTTTATCGACAATGTGTAATTTTGTATCTCTCTTTAGGTCGGTAAATGCATTTGACAATTGATTGGCTATACGTTGCAAATGAATTATCTTTGAACTTCTTGTTCCCATTGTTGAAGAAGTGATCCTCAAGTGAATAACTTTTTTTTTGGTTGTTTCATGGTTTTCCCCCTTTGAAACCAGCCGACTATTAAAATCAAGGTTTACGAGATTTTCGACATCTAAGATGCACAAGCAAACTTAATGAGAGCACTGGACCATTTGTGTAGCAAGTGATAGGGTTAGGGACTTCCATTCCAACTTTGGAATGTTAGGGACCATTTGTGCAAGGACCATATAGGTTAGGGACTATTTGTGTTAATTCCCCTTAAAATAAGCTAAAAGATTTGAACTTGTATTCTGATTTAAATGAATGCTAAATTTTATTCTCAATTTTTTGCACACGCACCCTTAATGATGGTTTTCTCTTGCAAAATATTTTATTTCCATGTTTTAAAATGAGAAAAAATATTTTATCCCGTAGAATGTTGGGAAAATAAAATGTTTTACACCCTTCTAAGTTCTAATGGAATTTTTGGACGGAAATCATTATTAGAGACAACGTGCAATAATTAATGGAAAGTTGAGGTTAAGAATACTGCGGAAAAAAGTTGAAAAAATAAGTAATACAATAAAAAGAAAATCGAAGACTTTAACTGCAATTAAAATGTAGTACTAATTCATCCTTTGTTAGTGCTTGTTTAATTGGATAAATGTATGGTCACGTTTGACTCATCTATTTTTCAAGTGCTCTATTGACGATAAGAACTTACCTTAAATGTCTTATGCATATGACATTAATTGTCATTGTCATGTTAAAGCTCCTTTAAGCCAATAAAAGATAAGCATGTATGGTCTTTTTTTCCTCTGTGCAAGATAAAGTTTTTTACTTTTGACTTTAACTTTTCTATTTAAAATCTTTGTCAAAGTGTTGTTCAACTTTTCAACTTTATGTAACATCGTGATAGAACATAGATAAGGAGAGATGGTGTGTTATGTACATCAATATTTAGAAATTTATGAATAATTAAAAATTTAAAAGTGGGTTACGTCAACTTGACTAGATTTAGATTCGGTACAATCCACAATTTTGATAGGACTTGCTCGATCAACATCTCAAGAGAAACAAGGCTGAGGCCAACAAGCACATTCAAATTTTGCTTCTCAAAAAATACAAAAATAGTCGACATTACTTGCATTTACGTATCAACTCATAAAATTATTCTAGATGGGACCTAACAACGATGCCTATCGTGT